AAGGAAGGAAGGAAGGAAGGAAGGAAGGAAGAAAGGAAGGAAGGGAAATTCCCAGAGATGTATGTGGAACAAAATATTCAAAGTACAGATCTTCCTTGCCTTTGAATAGGGTTGCATCCCCCATGAACCCAGTGTAAGTTGAAAATATGTCAAAAATGCGCTTAATACACTTAACCTACTGAAAATCATAGATTAGCCTTGACTACCTTGAGCAGATTGGAACACTCACATTAGCCTATAGTTGGTCAAAATCATCTAACACAAAGCCTATTTGATAATAAAGTGTTGAATATCTCAAAATGCAAAATTCTAAGTACAGTTTCTACCGAAGACTATTGCTTTCACACCAGGGTAAAGTTGAAAAATCCTAAGTCAAGCCATTGTAGGTCAAGGACCAGACAATCTGTATAAACTGAAATGTTTGTGAAAATGCTCTTGGAATTATTTCTGTATTTATTACAGACAAAAAAGAATTTTAGAATCATATTGAAGAAAACAGCATTCACCTCTCATGGTTTTGTTCACAAAAAATGTAATTATAAGGCAGAATTTAAGAATCAAAGGGGACAAAAATATTACAGTTATTAATAACTAAGTTTCAGCAAAAAAAAAAAAAAAGATTGTTCCTAGAAAAGAAATTGTGATCGTGGCAAAACTCAACATCATTAAATATTTAAAAACAATAGTCATTATGAGTTCATTAAATGCACTTTACTTACAGTATCACCTTAGCGGCAGCCTGTCATGCACTTCCAAAATAAATGTGGATAAACATAAATATAAAATAAGGCCAGAGACAGGACGCAAACGCTTTGTGTTTGTGCGTGTGTGCGTGTATGAGTGAGTGAATACTGAAAGGAGTCCCTGCGATTCTCCTCACTCTCTTTTCTACTACCACCTCCTTACTTTATGGACTGGGAGAGTCCTTGAGTCAAAATAGCTCGGCGGGTACTTCTGGGACGGGAGATCTGGGTTCCAGGAGCTTGCTGGAAGGAGAGGGAGAGGCGGCGGCGGCAGCTGGAGGATGAAGAAGGACCATGTGCTGCACTGTCAGTTCTCTGCCTGGTATCCGCTGTTCCGAAGCCTTACCATCAAGGGCATCATTCTTCCACTTCCTCAGAATGTGAAGGATTATTTACTCGACGATGGAACTCTGGTGGTTTCAAGAAGGGAAGATCCACCAACACATTCTCAACCAGACAGTGATGATGAGGCAGAAGAAATACAGTGTACGAATGATGAGAGCACGGCTACGCTTACGGCACCGGAATTTCCCGAGTTGACCACGAAAGTCCAAGAAGCAATCAATTCCCTGGGGGCCAGTGCATTTCCTAAGCTTAACTGGAGTGCCCCAAGGGATGCATACTGGATAGCATTGAACAGTTCTCTGAAATGTAAAACCCTCAGCGGCATCTTTCTATTGTTCAAGAGTTCTGAATTCATCACTCGTGACTTCACTCAGCCATTTATTCATTGTACTGATGATTCTCCAGATCCTTGTATAGAATATGAGCTTGTTCTTCAAAAATGGTGTGAATTAATTCCTGGGGCTGAGTTCCGATATTTTGTCAAGGAAAACAAGCTTATTGGTATTTCTCAAAGGGACTATACACAGTACTATGATCATATTTCTAAACAAAAGGAAGAGATTTGCAGATGCATACAAGACTTTTTTAAGAAACACATACAATACAAATTTTTGGATGAAGACTTTGTGTTCGATATATAGAAAGACAGCAGGAGGAAGGTGTGGCTGATTGATTTTAATCCATTTGGTGAAGTAGCTGATTCACTACTGTTTACTTGGGAAGAACTGATATCTGGAAGAAATTTAAAAGGTGATTTTAGTGAAGGAGGTGCTCTGGAGCAGGATTCTCCAACTTTCCGTTGTACAAACAGTGAAGTGACGGTTCAATCCAGTCCCTATCTGAGTTACCGACTTCCCAAGGACTTTGTAGATCTGTTTACTGGGGAGGATGCTCACAAACTCATAGATTTTCTTAAACTGAAAAGAAATCAGCAAGATGACTGATTAGAATGCCAGAGTTGAGTCCGAGGTACAGAGGAAACCACCTTGGCATCAGGAGCCTGCTCTGAGCTCACAACTTCCTGTTACCCCACTCAGGTTGGGGTGGGAGACAGAGTGAAATCAATAGCTTTTTATATCCATGTATATTAAGCTGGGAAAAAATGGAGGGACTTTGCTACTTGTAAAAATAAATAATAAATAGATCTTAAATATAGGAAACCATACTGTTCTGATGATAAAATACCTTCTCTGGAAAAAAAAAAAAAAAAGGCCAGAGACATAGTAGTAATTCAGATCTCTCTCCCATCAAGATGTTGTTCATAAATAGTACATGAGATAACTCACCAACCTAAACCTTTTTTTATTAAACATGATTTAATTAATCTCAAATTTTAAACACTTTCTCATTTTCCTGCACCCACTAAATATGCATGGGCTATTTTATATACCTTAAGTATGGGTCTATTATTTAGAATATTTCAAATGTGTGAATTTTCAAAATCCTCTACAGTACTCTTTTAATCAAACATATTATTATTTTGTATAATATAACAATAATATAAAACAGAAAAATTGACAAGACTTGTTTAAGAAAATCTATCAGGTTATTAGGTAATATTATTTTATATTTCAAGTGATCCCAAATGGAATCCTTAGCTATTCTTCTTCTCAATTTCCTCAATTATAAATTAAATTGTTGCTAGAGGTGATATTTTGCATCACTTTCTTTCTTTAGGATAGATCTTTAATTCTTTAAATATTCTAATAAGGCAAATACAATTTTCAGAAATCTGTTTAAATTTGGTGGAAGGCAGGTTTCTTCATTGTTCTGTCAAATACAAAATAAGATGTCAATGTGATTCTTTTTTAAAAATATATATATATTTTTTAAAAACTGTGCTATTTGAGGAAGGTAACTCACAGTGTAGATAACCATCAGTGTGAGTATATAACTGTAAAGCTCAGTATGGGTCTTAATGTCATTTAAATGCCAAATATGTAGAACATATCCTTTTGATTAGTCATTATAGTCATAAGCTAGAATGTTTTTATTACCTGTGGCGTTGACATTTTGCCTCATTATTGGACACATAATTTGTAGAACACTATCTTTATACCATCATAGGAAGTTGAATATTCAGTTGCCATAAAGTGTTAGCAATTAATTCATCTAAATTTTAAATTTTTCTTTATATTACAGTCTTCTTAAGTTACAGCTTTTATTTCCTTGGAGTAAAATACTTATTAATCCCTAATATGTACCAAAGCAGGTGTTAAGTAATTTGTATACAATCTTCACAATGAAGTGAATTTTATTATAATTTTGAGACATGTTTTAGATTTATAAATAATAGGCATACATTGATTATGCCTTTTTTACAAATCAGGCAACCTAAAATGTAAGTCTAAGTTGGACTGAGCAAATTTATTATTATGCATTAAATAGAGGATTCAAACACAGATCTATCTAACTCTAATATAATCATGCTTTTTCCACCACAGATCAATCACCACCATGAATTAAAAAATAGGATGTCATAGACACATACAAAATAGAAATCAAATACTGAAATATTTATTAAATATGTATTTCTAAAAGTTAACCATTTATAAGAAACATGAAAACTTTTTTTCAAAAAATTTTTATCCAAAGTGCATGTTTGATTTTTATCTGTAAAAACCCATTGCCTTGCCATAACAAAAAAGAAATGACTTCTCATTGCTAAGGTCTCAAGTTAAACTGAGTTTGTTAGTCATCTCTCCCAGATGCATTCGAGGCCACTAATAATCTTGATTTAATCTTTTTTCATCATGCTGCATGTGTACTCATTCTATTGTCTTGCTCCTCTTTTCACTTGCCAATAGTGAAATTCTCTTCTTTATGTGATGTTCTATTTACATGATTTTCTTTTTTGCTAATAATTTTAAAGCATTAAGTTTGCTACTTTGGCTTTATTTTGGCTTACAATTCCATGGTATTTTTCTATCATTTAAAAAACCTGTATCTCCTTTTTATATGTTATAATTGCAGAGAATGCAATGAGAGAACTTGTTTTATGTAAAATCTGAGTGGCCTTATCTTTTAATACATTTAACTATATACATATAAACATACTAATGGAATTGCCCTATTACTAGTATCACTTTAATCATTTATTTCATGCTTCCTATTTACAGGATTTAACTTTTGAGTAATGTTTTTCTTTCCAGACTTCTACTGGATAAAATGCATTTTTTTTCTGCTGTCTTGGAATTTGTACTTTCTACTTTTTCATTTGTTCTTAGTCTTTAAGTGCAACACCTACATTTTTTTTTTACCATTAGTGAGTTAATATCAGCAACTCGTTTTTCTTCCTAATATTTACAAATACTTTAGAACAATTTCATACTCATTTGGCTCCTTAACCCTTCACTCCTAGAGGCAAAACACCAACATACAGTTTTATTCATTATGTTTATAATGAGAGAACACAAAATTCAATCATATTTTTAATAAAACTAAAAATTAGAAGAGAAACTGGGGTAAGTGACTTTCAAATCACTAAAAGAAGGTCAAATGCAATACAAAGACTCTTAAATTTGGTTCCAAGCTTAGCTGCAATTCAGAAAAACTACATATTAAACAAAATTGCAACAGGCACAAAATAGCGGATGTTATGTGATAGGTAAAGATTAACATAATAAAAAAATAACAGGCGTGATATTTTAACAAAATGGGCAGAGTGAATCCATGTTTATTATGAATTCATTGGGGTGCCTGGGTGGCTCAGTTGGTTGGGCAACTGCCTTCAGCTCAGGTCATGATCCTGGAGTCCCTGGATTGAGTCCTGCATCGGACTCCCTGCTCGGCGGGGAGTCTGCTTCTCCCTCTGACCCTCCCCCCTCTCATGTGCTCTCTCTCTCTCTCTATCTCTCATTCTCTCTGTCATAAATAAATAAAATCTTTAAAAAAAGAATTCATTAAGCAATATATACTGGATAATCTTATGCATTTAAAACATCTGGACAAAATGACAATATAATTATGTGGCAGGTAAAAAGACATAGATGGATGAAGAACACTCCTCCTAAAAATTAAATTAAAATATAACATAGGATGAAAATGAAAGCCAATTATTTTAAGACAGCAGTTCCCATGCTTTTCTATGCATTAGAATCACTTGGAGAGCTGTTCAAAAAAATATATGTTCAGATTACACTCCACATCAATATTTTCAGGATGTTTGAGGCAAGAATCCCATGAAAAATCAACAGCACAGCAAAATTTAGGGATCACTGTTTCAAGGTTTTTTAACTGTCATCCACCAGTTTTGTTTTAATGCAGTTTTAGCCATGGTTCAAGATTATAATAAATGACGATATTATTTATATGAATAAAGCAATGTAAAGGTTGAGTTTATAAAATATCTCTAAATTCAAAATCTTAATATCTGATGCAGTATTTCCTATATTGGGGATTTTATAGTGAAACAAAACAATTCCAATTTGATGTACAGATATAATTATTTACATTTTTATTTATATTATTAATTTAAAAAACTAAATATATATCAATTGAGAAATAATGTATGTCAAAATCATGTTCAAATAACATTTAAATCTCATTATATATTGCTATTTGTAAAAGTCTACATACAAAACTAAATGTATTTTTGTTGTCGAGTCTTAGAATTTCTCTATATATTCTAGTTATTAATCCCTCATTAATTACATTATTTGCACATATTTTTTCCCATTCTTGTCTTTTTGTACTCTGTGGATAGTGTCTTTTTGTCCATCCATCTCTTGATTTTCTTTTTTTTAATTTAATTTTTTTTTAATTTGAGTTGAGCTGATACAAAATGTTACATTAGTTTTAGGAGTACAACTTAGTGATTGGACAAGTCTATGTGTTGTGCTATGTTCACCACAAGTGTAGCTACCCTCTATCACCATACAACACCATTACAATACCACTGACTATATTTCCTATGCTGTAACTTTTATCCGTGTGACCTCTTCATTCCATAACTGAAGTCTGTATCTCCCATGTCTCTTCACCCACTTTGCCCATCCCCCCATCTCCCTCCCTTCTGTCAACCAACAGTTTGTTCTCTGTATTTATAGATGTGATTCTGCTTTTTGTTTGCTTGTTTATTCATTTATTTCATTTTCTAGATTCAACATGAGTGAAATCATATGGATACTATCTTTTGATTTAAAAAATTTTTTAATTTTCATGAAGTCCATGAGGCGCATGAATGGTGCAGTTGGTTGAACGTCAGATTCTTGGCTTCGGCTCAGGTCCTGTTCTCAGGGTCGTGAGATGGAGCCCCAGGTTGGGCTCAGTACTCAGCACAGAGTTGGCTTAAGACTCTCTCTCCCTTCCCCTGTGTCCCTGTCCCTTGCCCCCATGCTCTTGCTCTCTGAAATAAATAAATAAATAAATCTTAAAGAAACAAAAGGAAATCTTAATATTAAAAAAAAAATGTTTGTGAAGCTCAATTTGCCTATTATTTTCTTTTGTTACCTGTCCCTTTGGTGTCTTATTCAAGGAATCTTTGTGAAATCCAACCCTTGTGAAGCTTTTGTCCTATGCTTTTACCACTGAACTGTACACTTACAAGTGGTTAAGATGGGTAAATTTTATATTAGGTGTATTTTACCACAATAAAAAAGAGGAAAAAAGTAAATAAATTAAAAAAATGTATAATATGAATCCAATTTTCATGAACACATATATACTAAAGTCAGACTAAAATACATTTGAAATGGTCCAGTTTCATTCTTCTGCATGTGGCTGTCCAATATTCCCAACACCATTTGTTAAAGAGACTGTCTTTTTTCCATTGGACCATTTCCTTACACCACACACAAAAATAGACTCCAAATGGTTGAAAGACCTAGATGTGAGACAGAAGTCCATCAAAATCCTAAAGGACAACACAGGCAGCAACCTCTTCGACCTCAGCCACAGCCACTTCTTCTTAGAAACATCACCAAAGGCAAGGGAAGCAAGGGCAAAAATGAACTATTGGGATTCATCAACATAAAAAGCTTTTGCACAGCAAAGGAAACAGTCCACAAAACCAAAAGACAACCGACAGGATGGGAGAAAATATTTGCAAATGACATATCAGATAAAGGGCTAGTATCCAAAATCTATAAAGAACTTATCAAACTCAACACCAAAGAACAAATAATCCAATCAAGAAATGGGCAGAAGACATGAGCAGACA